TGTCTGATGTGGTTAATGGGAAAACGTTTTCCAACTTGACACGACTTTAATAACGCCGACCGGACACATGCTTGCATTAATTTGTTTTTGGCCGGAATGTACAAAAGTTTGCAATAAATTTGAAAACGAAGTCTTTCACTAAAATATAAATAAACTGTCGTCTTGGACATGAATTTAAATTGAAAATGTAGTTCTTGACAATCTTGTGAACATTGGCGGAACTATTCAGCATTCGAGTAAAAATATGCAGCCCAAAGCAAATTAATTACAACCGTAGCCAAGAGGATATTTACTGAAATAAATTCAACTTAAATGGATTTCAGAAGCAATGCGTATTTTCTCAGGGAAAGGATCTTAAATATTCGGTAGGTTTACTTTCACTTGAATAAATTRAGCAAAGTTATACTTAGCCATATTTACATTGGGTTCTGATTATTTCTTTGGATACAGAAAAACTTGGAYCATGTTTACTTTAATTCTTTAACATGGAAATTTAGCCAAACAGCTTKACTTTTCGTAAAACTTTCTTAAATTTCTAATTATATGAAGTAGTAACCATACAAAATTCGTTTCTTTTAATCAGTTTTCAAAATACTTTAACATTGCCAATTGTCCTCGGTTCAGATGGGCTCCAGAGATACTATCACTATGGCTTTGAGMGTCATTAACTATTAAAAATTAAAATATAGCYACCTAGATGRTCATACAAAGTGCACGAAATAACAAATCGTTTTGAAYATTTTTCGTCAAGAYCTTTTGTAACATTTTAATTCGAACAATTTTCCCACCATTTAATTAAACTAAACTTAACTTAACTCCTTGAATCTTTTTCACCTCTGATGTTTCATCAGCMAAGAGAGCAGGGCATATTACATCCACTTTCGATTTKTTGTAAATATTTTAAATTAGCGATCGATGAAAATKTGCAAAAAGTTAGTTGCTMACTCTAAATATTAATACKTGAGCTCGCACTTGAGCTATATAGATTATRTCTTAATAATAWTTATTAAGGCAATRTTTCTGAATATTGTAGGTGATAATATTGCASTTAGTTAATATTAAAAAYTAAAGTTTTATTAAGGGTTAAAGAGCTTATTGGAACAACAGTATATTATACGATTTTGGTATACAAATAATCCTATTCGCTCTAATTAATGGCGATCCGAGAATCCCAATTTTATAGCGCAAATACTTCGCTCGACTAAAAGCCGTTTCATGATTCATAAGTTTCATTTCAAGCCGATAAAATTTATTTGCTGGTAAAGCGAAAACCGCCATTTTGAACATAGTTTTTAGAGGTACGACAGTGCCATTGTTCGGTAGTAATTGATTTGATTTAAGACCATGTACGATAAAATACGGGATTTTATATTCGTTGGAACAATTTCAACTTTATGGAATAAAAGAAGATTTGTTTCAACTTGGTGAAAAGAATGAACAAATTTTATCTTTGGAAATAAGATATATTATCTTCATTATTAGATTCATTGCACACTTGGCACCTGTGATTATTAGTTATAATATAATAGTTATAACCTCCCCAAATGTTAACGTTTATTTTGGATTGCTTATAGTTGCATCATTTCTAGTTAAAATTTTGTACTCACACTAGGACTAAGTGCAAGTCTTTTAATTTTTGCTTTAATGCAATAAAATAATTGTTATTTTAAATATTAATTTTTGCTATAAAGTAAAGCATTCTTTAAAACTCTGTATGTTAAAATTCTAATATATGAAATAAAATAACGTGATTGTCACGTTATTTGATATTAGTGTGCCGGACAGGTGCACTGATGCTTCCAAATCGTAACAACTAGTTTGAGAGTGACTAAAATATTTAAGGTCCATCTTTATAACGTTCAACTACTTTTAAAATTTAAGGATCGAAATATGGTATTTTAGTAAAAAACACGATTTTTCAGTTTGACTTTGACAAATGAAACAACTATGAAATTAAGGAAACATGTATTTTTCATCAACACCTAATGAGTTTTATTAAATTTAACTAGATGTTGGTGCTAATTCTCCTGTATGACATGGAATCTAGAGCGACACTCCACAACAGGCAGAAAATATTAATTTTTTGCTACTCATTGACTACAAATTTACCAAACCTGGTAGTTCCAAATGGCATCTGTAATCATTATTCGTTTAAGCAGAGACAGACAGTACAGTACAGTATATTTAGGAACAAAACATTCAGACCCAAAAGCTTTTACGATAAGACAGAAAAATCCATACTTATCCAAGCCTTTTTAAATTCAGGAAAGAGAACAATTTAAATATATATCCGCTTCATGCATCCTTGGATTTCATGAAAGTCTTAAAAGGATTTTTATAAAACACATCCATGCTAGCGCATAAAGTTTCAGAGGCCGCCTTCACCGTGTCACAGTTTAAACTGCATTTTTACAAAGAACCTCTTTCAGAAGAAGACAAAAAAACTTGCCGAGCACTTCAAAATAATGATATCAGACAAATGCAATTTAAGGGAAAATAATTTATTTGCCTGTGTCTGATTCTGAGAGAGATTTTTTGCTTTTTATAGTTTCAAATGAGGTTCCTGAGTAATGATATAGCAAATAATTTGTCACAAAGATAAAAAAAATAAATCAAGACTACAAACATTTGTTTTAAAAGTCGACCGTAGACAGAATAGGCCTCAGAACAGTCCTAGATTTGTTTTCAGCAACATAAACACTCAAAAAGTAGTGTTCGTTTTGTAAAATGTGCCAAATTTCATACAGGAAAAGTTTTGGAAACAAGGAATTGTTTTGGTAAATTAATTATCAATCATCAATCAAACTATTGCGGATGGTTAAAAATATGATATGGTTGAAAATACCAACGCTTGATAGCTTTGGTATTTCAAGATATTATATAAGTCAAGATATTCTGATATAAAGAAATTAGTCCATCAACTTCTTAGTAGAAACACAAAAAAGCATAAGCAGCTAATATAAATGATTAAATATATAACATATGCGAAGGTAGAAAATTTCAATTAAACGCCCTGGTTTTATTTCAGATTCCATGCAAACGCTTTGCAAAAATCATTTTCTCCAGCAACTTTACCGGAAAATTGACGGTGCTGTATTATGGAGCCAGAATGAAAGAAATCTGGATTGCGTCATCACATTCCAGACACATTCAATTTTGCAGAGATTTATGCTCCGATTTGATGGATTGCAACTGGACTGCAATGACCATCTGTTTATTTATGATGGGGCGCATGCTGTGGGAACTTATAAGGTGAGATTTGAAGGAAAAATAAATTGTCACTATACAGCTTAAGATATTTGATTAACTATTTCATCCAAGTTAAAATTCTTACGTTAACGTTATCTTTGTAGTCATCAAAAGTAAAGGTAAAAACTACTAAGAGAATTAACTTTTTGCAGGACATTAATGGTTTGGCATAACTAAAATATGTAGTCAATGCAGAATGGATATTTTTGTATATTTATTGTGCGATTATTGGTGGTTTTCCATGTTGCTTCTTGATTTATGTGCTTACTCAGTAAACATCCCGACATGGTAATACTATTTAATAGTTTTTACCAGGAGCTTGAATATGTAAACTAAAATTCAAAATAGAGTAATAATGTAAGTACAATAATGAGTCTCCTGTTTGTTGAATGACTGCTCGCTCATAAATGCATTTTTATTAATAAATACAAATTTTTTACATGGTTCATCATTTATAACGAGAACGCTGTTGGTTTTCAATAATCAAGTGTTTCAACTGATTCAAATTGATTATTCAAAGAGTTTTCATTCTAGTTAGAATGGTGTACAGCAGGAGCCCTTACAGGATATTCATTGCAAACAGCAGATTTAAATCACAATGGCAAATATCTAGTCTTCGAGTTAAACAATGTATACATCCAGAGCAATTTGCCATAACAAATGTTGTACTGGTTTGTTAGTATTATTCATGACAAATTATCTCTTCATGGGCCTATTTTTATTATACGAATCGTTCGGTAATTGCCAGTGTGATTTTGGAAATAGCTGCTGGTAAAGTATTTGTGGATGTGCGCCCAGATCACCTGCGTATGTCCTTCAGCCATGAGTTCTGGCGTTTTCCGACGGATCTTTTTCCTTGAATCTTCCCTTCGATGATGAGTTTCAGGATTTCGTATCGGCCCTCATAATATGTTCAAGATACGGTTTTTCCTTTTATTTATCGTTTGTAGCAGTTCATTTCAGGAACTTTTGAGGCGTTCATACCTCTATATTGGTTCTCTGTGTCCAAAAAGAGCGTCCGTCGATAGAGATACATCTCAAAAGCGTCGATTCACTTCTCTGTTACTGGATCAGAGATCCTATACAGCAGTGAGAGTACAGAGTACAGAGTACAGAGAACACATAGCAATGGAGCACGCGTGTCCTGAACTCCTAGCTCAATTCCAATCTAGTCAAGAGCTTCTTCATACTAGCTTCTTCATAGAAGACCTTCCTCGCTTGTTCTATTTTGGATCTGATTTCACTTTTAGGGTCACAGTCCTGATCTATCGAGGTGCCCAGGTATTCAAATGAGGAGATCTGCTCTACGGCTTTGCCGTTTAAGGTCAAGGTTATATTTCTATGTGTTTTGGAAAAGACTATGGTCTTGGTTTTGGATATGTTCATGAAAATACCATTTTATGGATTATTCTCTGTAATTCACTTGGACTGCTGGCTGGATGACGGTGTCATCTGCGTACCTTAAGTTATTTATCACTTTACCAGTATTTGTTTTGGTTTTGCTTCTTGTGTGTTGCCTCTTTCATCCATCAAGGATAGTATTTCCTGCGTCATCCACCTTTGCTTTTTATTGCTTTCTACGAACCCTATTTGCTGCTCTTGGATATTGTTAATTGTTCTCTCTGTTACGCTCCAGGTTGCCTCCGTCTCTTCTATCTTGATGTGATTCATTTCTCTTCCTAGTGAGCTTCCTACTTGCTCTTTAATATTAGGACCTCCATAATATGAGTTTTTTTTTCAATTTGTTTCCCATTCTATTTTTAAACCGCACATTTGAATATTATTTTCTATGAGCCGTGTTATGTGATTATTTCAAAATTGCAAATTTGGCGTTCAAGCTCTTAAGAAAGACAGATTGACGAATTTTGATGCAATGACTAGAAGGTAATTATTTGTGTATAAAGTTGATGGAACTCGAGAAAACATCAGGATTACGACTCAGTGTACGGGAATTGGCAATCATTTAGAATTTCATTGCCAGATTATTTTTACCTTGTGGTGCTTCCAAAGAGAGTTAGGTTTTAATAATTAATAATTGTTGAGCATGATGATGAAGCATTTGCTACTTTTCTCCAAAAGCATTTCACAACAACTCATTTCAAATAATACCAAATTACCCAACCAGTCAGGTAAAACATGTTCTATGGGTGCTTCATAAATATGGTGAAGAACCAACAATAATAACCTAATAAATATCGAAACAGAATAAATGTATTTAATTTGTTTAGATTATTTTTTATTACAGCGCATTTATCATCCGATTATAGAACAATAAGCTCGACAAAAGTTATAAAGTAGTTTTTTTAATAAAATAAAATTAGATTTATTAATCCCTCTTTAAACGATGTCAGTTCGCTAAATTCTGGTGCAAGACGTTCTACGTATAAAAATGACAAAAGAGAGGCCGTTATTGGAAACGTTACAAAAGGGCAGTCAACTATAGAATTACTTCCTGAATAATTAATCAATTTATCAGTCACATTATAAAAGCAATGTTTTCACATTTTCAGTTTGAATAGAAGCTTCCAATGAATTTATGTTTTAATATAATTTGTCGTTTTGGCCTGCGATATTTAATAATATTATAATGTTTTTGGCCAATTTTATTCTTTATAAATTAGCTAATATTCTTTATAACTTTAATTATTGAACATAGGCTCGCTCTGTATAACGTGCAACGTCAAACGTTAGGACAACTGTTACCGGTTAATCCAAATTTTAGGACGAATTGAATTTAAAAAATCGAAACGCTATTTATGGATTTGATAGTAATTTATTACTCAACTTTTAAGTCAAAACTGTCCACTTCACAATTTAACTTGCAAAATTTTGTATTTTTATTACTATATAATCAATAGTACAATCATAGAATCAGATAGAAATGCGCTCAGCAAACTTGGAAATTCATTCAAACATTTTTTATTGTAAACGAAAAGTGTTACTTTGACGGCCTGGGACAACCGAAATCAGTCAAGGAAAGTTATGGTCTCGGAAAAACTATTCTCACTGCATTGCTTTGCAAAATTTTTATCTGTATCTACCATTGCTTAGGTTTACTTTAGCTTCGGTTCGGTCATAGTTTGAAAGTTGCTCTCAGACCTCTTATTACTATATTTTTATACACTTATATTTACTTGTTTGTCTAGATTTTTACGGCATCTCAAGTTTCGTAAAACGTTATTTTATTGGAGATTCCAGATTCGAGATACACTTCCTAAAACAACAGCGCTTGAAGAAACCTTGGCCTCTTCCGACTGAATGCTGCGGACGTTTCGGAAAAATTTCGAACAGTTGAAACTATTATACGCAGACAACAATTGCATTTCTCAGATTAAAACTGAGCCCAAATTTTTTTTCAAATACCTACCTTCCTTTCGATTTTATAAAATGCAACTTGAGATGAACTTTCGCGGATGGTTCGTCCGTAAGTCTATTTGTGATAATTTTAGTTAATAACTTGTACGGATTCGGTAATACGCTTCTCGGGTGGTAGTTTTCTTTATTGAGTTTGTCACCCTTTCTTATCCGGGTCCGATATTTCCCCTGTTCGGGATGTTTTCTGCATTAATATTGCCCAGCCTTGCATTTAAGTCACCAATAATTATCCAAAAATGTGTATTTTCGTTTTTTAGAGCCAGTGTGTTATTCTCATATAACTGTTCTATTTCACTTTCTGGTGGAATGCTTATGGGGTATACGTCTGGATGCTTTGTAGCTTATGAAAATCGCTCTGATATTTTGAGAACCACATAAATGGTAAATTTTATAATTTTGTTCCCTATTTTCTTATTTACTGCTACTTTTTTTAATACTTGTAAACAACGTTAAAAGTTCATTTTCAGCTGTTAATATCTTCTAGAAATTTTCGGAAACATTTGTTTCAATATTTTTCTCTTACTCTCCATCACCCTGCATAGTAGATTTACAGCATGAACTCCACGGTATAATCCACATTAATCACCAAATATGTACTAATATTATAGTTATTAACGAAATAAAGTTTTATACCCTTCCACCGTCCTCATCATGCTACCAGGAATATATAAACTTTACATACGCTGCTCATGCATGAATAATTGGCGGGTAATGGTAACAACTATGGGCAATTTAATATTAACTGCTTAATTTTAGCCATAGCCGGAGTCCTGATAAGGCCAAGCATTAAATATGATAGATTACGCAGAACTACTAGTAAATGTAATAAAATATAGCAATATTTCATCAACTTCGTAGTTAACGAGTTGATAACGAACTAAATGTACATTGCATAAATAACAACTTTACTTCTACCCGCCTAATTTATGTAGTTTGGTTCAAACCACTCAATAAAATTGAGTTCAGTTGAAAATTGCTCACGTTATTGTCTATTTATTAATTATTTAATTTAACGAGTAAGGGTTAATATTTATTCTGGGTCTGCCATCCAATATAAAAAATACTTTTCCTGAAAATTGTGGGGTTAAACGACAGGCGCAAAAGCACAATTTTGAACAGAAATTAGAAACATTATCAACGAAGTTAAGAATTGTTAAAACATTTTCGCTCAGTTTCGCGTCAAAATGGTATAGTTAAGTTCAAAATATAGCAGGTGTGGGACAATAATAACAATGGTTTATAATTCAACAGACGTTTTGATCTTTATTGAGGTCTTCTTAAGGGATAATAGAAGAAAAACAGCGGTCACACAATTTAAGGAGGGAACAGAATTGACAGTTAGCTTAACTATAAAATTAATTATTAAAAAACAAAAATATATAAATATGCATAGAAACATCTACCTCAAATTATGTGACAACTTTATATCTTTAAATATTAATTGAAGCGAATGCATCCTCAACAGGTTTTAGTTCAAAGTTTGCCATTTTGGAATATGGATCGTTTAACTGTCGAAGAACGCGTAATAATTATTAAATGTTACTATAAAAATGGTGATTCTGGTGTATCAAAGTTTAGGGCTTTACGAGCAGATTACGGTCGACATAATCGACCCACAGAGCAAACAATCTAAAAGAACGTTGATTTTTACCAACCATGATTTTGTGTAAATTTTAAATCTGATGATGACGCTGTTGTCTCGCCGAAACCTAATGAAATAAACGATGTACAAAATTTTTACTTCACACTTTGACTGAGACCCAGGAAAGATAAGAATATCATAGAAAATAATATATAAACATAAAATTTAAAATAGTGAGTGCCTTGCTGTGTGAATGGATTTACTACGAATTAAGATTTATAGACACAGAGGCAAAATAATTATTTTGGCGAGGGCAGAAGAAGGCAAATGCGAAAAGAAGAAAGTTAATTCAGAACTAGAGATAATTATTGACAATACACGAAATTAAACTAACAAGAATTTACTTGAAGCTCTGCCACATAGCTTTAGCGAAATAAAAGTTATTCGGTTCTCCTAAACGGTGTAAAAAGCTGCCCTTAATGACTTCTTTTTCATTAATACACTATTATTAAATATCGATAACGCTTAACATGCCATCAACTATAATACATACATCAATAGTCCGATTCTTGCGTTTGCTGTAGCATGATATTTGATTTTAGCTAATAGATGTTACATTTGCGTTACTTATTGACTTCACGTCAATTAGTTAATTAAGAAAGAACAAAAAGATAATTTGATCATTATTATGAATTCTGCGTGTATAAACGGTTAATATTGAATGGTTTAGGAAATCCATGAATTGCTTTTCCTTAGAAAACTACGTTAACATCATTTAGTTTTTGACGTTTCTAGTGGAAAGGAAATGCAGAAAATATATAAATGGGGTCATAAAATTAACGTAAGATATCAATTAAGTAAAACTAAATCACAGTTTTCAGTCACGATAATTGATCATACGGAAAATGACCTCGCCCACTCTGCAAACACTCATTCGTAGAAATTTTCCATTACCATTTCTTCTGATATTGATACACCGTTTAATTTTTCCAGTGGCATGCCGTTTTTTAAACCTCTCCTTGTTCGAAATGCCTATGATGATTTTGTTCGAAAAATGAGAATCCATTTGATATTTAATAATCCGTTCAACGAACTGTCTTATGAATAGTCGTTGTGTTAATTGAATTTTGTGAATATGAAACCACATATATTTTATGTGTTTACGATTTAGAGAGCATACTGATATTTGCAATTCTTGGGCACGATTTGCTGTTGGACGAGGTGTGTTTGGTTTCTCCAACAGATCCACTTTCGCTGAATGTTTCGTTTAATTTCTTCACATTAATGCTCCATTTTTTACCCGTTAATTTTTCAGGGTTGCCAGCAATTTACTGCAAATCTTGGGTTAACTTTGGGTTATCCCTTAGTATATCTCTCTCTGTAATAAATAAACGCTATTTGTATCAAATTTTTTATTATTCCTGTTTTTTTTTATTTCAGTTTGATTTATCCTGCAAAAACACGAAACAAAATTTGGGAGCGATGTTCACCCGTACCAACTATGTTACCTTGAAATACGTCACCGACAATTGGGGAACAGAAAGCAATGGATTCAAACTTGTCATAACTGCAGTGAAAGATCCAAGTAAGTAATAATGCAGTTTATTAGCGAATGCATGTGGGTAGTAAGTCTATCAATAATTAGTGGAGAAATGTGACCAGATAGGCGTAAGCACAATTTAGSACTAATTTATTAAGTAAAATTCGTATATCGACTACATTTTTTCGAGTTGGTTTTTTCTCRACCAATTYCTTTGCAAAAAAATKTATGAGTYAATACTRGCGGTTTAGATATGAGCAAAAACTTTTTCCTRAACTTGAAGACCTGAACAGAAAAACMTGAACGAAACCAAATTTACTTCAGGTTTTACCTATACTACTTATTAAAGCAACTGCGGAATCARCAATATATCTTCTTCACCAAGTAGAGGTACATGCATGTCCTCATAACCTCGAATTGATATGTTTACAAATAAAGATACATGCATGTCCTCATAGCCTCAAATTGATATGTTTACAAATAAAGATACATTAGAGTCTTTAACTGCAAACAARTTAGWGCCTGTGTAAAMGCCTTATTATGCACTCTTCTCGAGCAGCTTCTCCCATTCGGTTAATTAACTCCTGTTTAATTTGTACCAGTGTTCAGTAAGCGATTGGTTTAATGTGTCCTTGTGCTCTGTTTAACTTACATATGTGGAAGAAATGTAGCCCTTACAATGCTCTGAGTGCCATTGGAAGGGTCCAATACTAATTCCTTTGTGCCTGGAACCGGAACATCTATTGTAGTCCACTATCTTCCTGGAGCCAATCTTCAATATCTCTAGCCCTTTGTTGGCATGAGTTCTTAAGTCTTCTGCTATGTTTCTGTGGCCTTTCCCCAGAGCTATTCGCATATTCGCAAATTCGTGAAAGGAGCTTCAAAGTAAGTTGCAGTTTGACAAATTATTGTAATTATTGACAAAGGCTATTCATCTGTAACTATCTGTTAATGTTGTTTTTTTATAAAAAAAAATTCAGAAGAAAACTTTAAGATTTGAAGCAAATATCGTAATTTTTCGTTTTGAATGAAGAAGTATTCCAATATGCTACCAATTTAACATGGAACAATTTCAAAATAATTCGGTGTTATAATTATGATCAAAGCAAACAAAGTCAAATACGGGATCGGGCAAGATAAACACGTAAACAGAACATAAGATGCAAAATATCCTAATTCGTGAAAAATTGTATTAATTTTGGGGTCAAAACTAGCAAAGTAACGAAAACCAGGCGAGGATCAATTCTCGCTTCTCTTCTAAACATGTCAAGTTCTACTTTATGTTTATTTCTGTTTGCGTTTCAATTGTAAACTTTGAATTCAATTTGCGGGAAATAATACAACGTAAAAATATACCCAAAATCAGTGTACCTTCAATTTGTACAAACCGAATAATCATTAAAGTTACATGGGCATGAGCCGAACAGATAAACCTTGAGAGGTTTATAAATATAAGACATTTTTGCATTATCCAAAAAATAATAAGGCTATGTAGCGTATATTATTATTGAAGCAAAATTATCATCAATAAATGTGATTTATTAGAAATGTATGTGAAGAATTTAAAAAATAATATGTAAATAGACATTATTCTTGTAATTATTCAACAACTATGTGCAAAGGCAAGAAAGTGCTCGGGCGACTCTGCTTCGCAACTCCAATTTTTCTCAAAAATTTTTAACAGAAACTTTGTGGATACTATAAACCATTTACAAAGCGTCTTTGCATGTCGACGATAAATATGCTGTACGAGTCGCTTTTCTGTCATTTGTTGTGTGACAATTGCAACTAGTCGTAAAGTCTGAAATGAGTTTCAGCATGGTCATAATAAGCCATCAGCCCGTTAGTTTGGGCAATTAAAATTGAATTACGGGCCCTTGATAATTATAAAGTGTGTAAATCAGTCCCGACAGCCCAAATTGTTGCCTTTCCGAGGCACATACGCCCTCGCGTTTTATGATCCCGGACATGTTGGTGAATTGTGACTGCAAACCATTTCCGAGGC